AGTCTACTTTTTATATTTCAAAATCTCAGGTTTTACAGAAGCGCACACCTAATATAGAGGATGGCGAAACTCTGGAACAGGTGCAAGGTTTGTTAAGACCACTACAAATGGAATTAATGCAATCTGTAGCAAATCTTCCAAAAAAGGATACGGGCTTACGAATGCAGAGCAGAGCAAGAAGACAGGCGGCATTAGAGAAAACTAGTGAACTACAAAAGACTGTCGACGGTTGGGATCAAAGAGATATCGGGCAGTGTTGCAATGAGTTTATTAGAGGTAATAAAAAAATATTTCTTTATCTCTCGATATCTTCAACCATTTCTTTTAATCATTAGTAGTTATATATCATTATATAATGTTTATACATTACAGAGGATACATTGAAAAAGGTGGCTAGTAATGGACGAAGATTAACGGAAAGAAAGGCCTTGTTATTCGATGGTTTATTAGTATTGTGTAAACCAACTGGTAGTAAAAGAGTCAGTGTCACTGTTGCGGCAGGTATTGTTGCGGTCGGAGTAGGTGGACATTCGGCTCATCAAGGTGAACTCCGACTGAAAGAGAGACTTTTTATTAGAAAAGTCGATATTATTGATAGAGAAGATACTGAAGGTAAACGTATATATAACTCTATTGTAATTTTGTGTTAACGTTTGTAATCTTCCTAATTAAAATATTTTTTATATAGAATTAAAAAATGCTTTTGAAATTGCACCAAGGGACCACCCTAATGTTATTCTTGTTGCCAAATCTGTCGAAGACAAGAATAATTGGATGGCGGATTTAGTGATGTTGAATACAAAAAGTATGTTGGAAAGAACTTTAGATAGTATCCTCTTGGACGAGGAAAGAAAGCACCCATTGAGGCTACCTCCATCTCACTTGTATAAATTTACTGAACAAGATGGTCCAGAAAATATTGTTTTGGAGGCCAGGGAAAATGGTGGTGTTCCCTTGATTAAGGGCGCAACTTTGGTAAAATTAGTAGAGAGATTAACTTATCACATATATGCTGATCCAGCTTTTGTAAGAACATTCCTTACTACTTACAGGTAAGTAAAATGGTAGCATACTGTACCAATTCTTTTCACATATGAGATAAATTATTTATTAATGATTTATTTATTGTAACGATTACAGGAGTTTTTGCTCACCTCAAGAATTGTTAACATTGCTAATAGAAAGATTCGATATACCAGATCCTTCATTGGTCTATGGTGAAGAAGACAAACCTTCCGTATGTAAGATAGCTAGAGAAGATTGGAAAAGATATAGGAAAGAATTTTGTCAACCGGTGCAGTTTAGAGTTTTGAACGTTTTAAGACACTGGGTTAGTAACATTTTTTAATTTTCCCTTACAGATTCTCTTACAATGTCATTATTCGCAGTTTTATTTTCTTAGGTGGATCATCATTTTTACGATTTCGAACGAGATAGAAATCTTTTAGAAAGATTGCAATTGTTTTTGGATACCGTTAGCGGTAAATCTATGCGGAAATGGGTTGATTCGGTGATAAAAATTGTACAAAGAAAATGCGAGCCGTCGGAACAACGACCCATCACATTTAGTTTTGAACGATCTCCTCCACCGATTGAGTGGCATCTTAAAGTTCCTGAGGAAGAATATGGAATACTTCAGGTATACGGATAATTTCTTCTTTAATTTATTTATTTATTTTTTTATAATATCTCCCCAACACCTTGATACAATCAAGATATTAATTACCATTACCAAAATTACCATTACTGAATCAACTTATAAATTACAGTTACATCCTATCGAATTAGCGAGACAATTAACACTATTGGAGTTCGATCTGTATAGAACGGTAAAACCTTCCGAGTTAGTTGGCTCTGTATGGACAAAAAAGGATAAGGAAAAAACATCACCGAATCTGTTGAAGATGATTAAACATACGACAAATGTAAGCTTTTATTTCAAGTCATCGTAAATATATCGTGATATGAAATGCCTGTTGTGTTACGTTACTATGCGACACTAATTTGATTTTTACTGCGGTTTAATAGTTTACAAGATGGTTAGAAAAGACAATAGTAGAGGCTGAAAATTTCGACGAGAGATTAGCCATTATATCACGTGCGATCGAAGTAATGATGGTGTTGCAAGATCTCAATAATTTTAACGGCGTTTTGGCCGTTATCAGTGCTATGGGATCGGCGTCGGTTTTCAGATTAAAATTTACATTTCAAGTATGAGCAAATATATAAAATTAAAATCAAAATTCTTGTATCAAACTATTTTTTTACATGGTTATTTTTATAGCAATTGCCAGCACGATTAGAAAAAGCATTGGAAGAAGCACGAGAGCTCAACAACGATCATTTTCGAAAGTATCAAGAGAAATTAAGATCTATCAATCCACCTTGCGTACCATTCTTTGGTAAGTATTACCAACATAATGACCCCTTGTCAGAGAATTACGACAGAAAGTTAAATTCTTTTTTCATTGTTAGGTATGTACTTGACTAATATTCTGCATATTGAAGAGGGAAATCCGGATTATTTACCGGCAAGTCCGGAGCTTATTAATTTTAGCAAACGTCGAAAAGTAGCGGAAATAACTGGTGAAATACAGCAGTATCAAAATCAACCCTATTGTCTTTTAGTGGAGTCTAGAATAAGACAATTTCTTGAAAACCTGTGTCCTTTTGATCCCAATATGAAAGATGCGGATATAAGCAATTATTTGTACAATAAAAGTTTAGAAATTGAGCCAAGAGGATGCAGGCAACCTCCACGATTCGTAAGCGTTTCATTGATACAGCATATCGAAATTGTGTGTCTTTCACGTTTTACATTTTTAAATTTTTGCAACAGCCGCGTAAATGGCCAGAATTGAACTTGAAATCGCCAGGAATCAAAGCCAGAAGCGGAAGATTACCAGCTCCGTTACATGTGGTAGCGTCTAGCGTAAGATTACACGATTCTTCAGCAGACACGTTTCCCCACGAATTACCGGAAACCCCTCCACATGGATCACAAATTACAGTTCCACACATAGTGGATCTCAGCGTTTTTGCGCCAGTCATATTCGGTATGCATCTAAATTTAAATCACGTATTAACAATAATTATATGAATATATAACTTTTGTCATTTTTCCGTAGCACCTGTGCCACCTCCAGCATCACCTAGTCCACCTAGTGGGTCAGCAATTTCGATTCCTTCATCGAGTAGCAGCCCTCAATCTCCTGGACCTTTGATTCCTTACCTTCATCAAAGTAATCACTTCAGCTTTAATATAAACACTATAAATAGCATGATAAGTGCTCCAACGTGTCTACCGTTGCCAGGTGGAAGCCCCAGTGCAATACCAACACCGTCGTCTCCCAATATACCTCCTAGCCAACTTCCACCACCTCTACCACCTAAACCACGAACTAAACCACGAGAAAATTCATGTAGCGGATCACCACAACAAGTAAGATTCCAAGATTAACTAACAATAAGATTCATTTAATTTGAAAAATTTTTAAATTCAATACCGAGATATCTCTACGTACTTAGCAAGATTTAAAAATATTACGAATTTAGATTTCCTCTCAAGGGAAATGTTGTATTTAAATCAAATTATTTTTCGTTTATTCGATAAAATTAGTGAAAAAAAAATCGATATTTACTGTATTGGATAATCTCAGATTTATCGACAGATTGCATCGAATTTATATTTCCGTATATTGCATTAATAGAGTAGAAATATCTCTGCACATCAAGATACATGAAAAATAGAACAAGTATTGATTTTCTTCGAGAAAGTAAGAAATTTGATTCAACAACTTTAGGCAAAACAAGCTCCAAACGCACCAATTCTCCCTCCGAGAGATGATATCTCACCACCGCCGTTACCACCACGACCTGTAACATTACCACCACGACTTCCAGCGACGCTAAACTCAAGTAGTTCGGCATTATTGACTCGCCGAAATTCCACGTTAGAAAATACATGCTGTACTATCGTTCATCCGCGGAGACATATGTCTTTCAATAGCCCTAGCCCTACAAAACTTCCACCAACGCAGCCTAACGGTGAGATATTATGTCGCGTTTATATAACGGATTATGTGTTCATATAACGGATATTTATTTTCGTACTATTGTGTTTCAGGATCAGTGACGCCGAGGTTACCACCAAAACCTTTACCGGGACGTCCACCCACTACCATGTTTAATTTTAACTCTCCTCCCGGACCTAGTTAAGTGTTGCCCTTCTCAGTTTTATTTTTTTACTTTGTTGAAAAAAAAAGAACATTTTCAGTCGCTGCTTAGTCCATTCGGTAAGTTATTAAAAGCTGAAATCTTCCTTGCCATACAAATTGTAAAAAAGGTCTAGGATAGATTGATGGATTGAGATTAAGTATTTATTATGATAAACCATTAAATATGAAAATATCAAAAATATTAAGTGGTGATTTGATAATTTTGACTATTTTGATAAATTTTCAAGTCTGTTGTTTGAAATAGCCAATGCTTTGTGATCACCATATTTTACAATCTTACCGAATAGACTATGCTCAATATCAGTTACCTGAATGGCTTCCTTCCTTTAAATCCCCGTCTCTCCTTCAAACACAACTGTGATATAGTTTCCATTAAAAAATATGTTAATGTAATTAGACATTTAGATTTTAAAGTAATAGACGTAAGAAAGTGACGTGTACCGAAATGAATATATATATATATATATATTGAGAGGGAAAGGGAGAGAGACAGGGAGAAAGAGGGAGAGGGAGGGAATGGGAGGGAGAAGGGGGAGAGAGAGAGAGGAGAGAGAAAATACATGTATATTATTATAAATATATTCTATATATATATATATATATATATATATATATACACATAATAGATTGTAATAATTTCTAGAAAAAAAAATATGGCATTATGTAAAATAAAAAAGTATATTATGTAACAGTATGTTTGTAATTTTTACCTTACATCTGCGTTTTTTACAGTGCATCTGGTAATAATTAGGGGCGAGAATGTTGAAAAGCGTAAGTGTAAATTTATTATAGGACTTGGACTTATATAATATAAGTTATTTGGAAATGATACTGAAAATAGGAAATGTTTACATAATAGAGAAGATTTGGCTTGATTTTATGGGACTTGCCATACTGTGGAGCTATCGCTGCGTTTACTATGCCTAACATCAGCGTGAGTATCTAGAGCGTCGCTCAATTTGCTGAATCGTCTAGCCCAGCTTCCTCTACCGATACTTCCCGCCTCTCTTAAAACCGAAAGTAAATCGTCTTCGTCTTCTTTCCCTTTTATTTCCTTTTCATACTTTTCTTCCTGAGCGATCAATCGTTCGCGTTGCAGCTGAGTTGTCAGAGAATGCGGTACAGCCGGTATCACGTAACTCATAATACCGGTAAGTGCGAAAACCTGTAAAAAAAAAGTATTCCCTCCATCGAAACAATCAATTTATTATCTTTATATTAATTAGTAAAAGAACGAGTCGACTTACAACGTGCTCGAAGACAACGACGAAAGCTAAACGCGCGGCGAAAACGTGCCAGTACTGTGGGCTGAGTCCGTAAGGATCATTAGAGTGATCTGGACCATTTCTGTAGCCTCTGTACTGACACGTCTCTGGATGTTCGCCATCTATGTCGCTCTTCATATCGTCGCGATAATCGGAAGTATTAAATTCTGACAGAGAGCTATCGATGTAACCCACCAAATCTTCAGTGGGCGAATAAACGAACGTGTACACGCTTCGTGGGATAAAGTCGGATGTGTACGCGATAACAAAGGCCTAGAACATGTATATTTTGTAACCGAGGGCTAGAGCGACTTGTGAGATTCGATAAATTTGTTTATATGTGCGTGCGTACATTCGATACCACCGCCACGTAAGTTACACCCCTAAGAATACCGGACCAAGCGCCAATATCTTCTACTCGCTCGGCTAACGGTCTCCGAGCCTCCTTAACCATTTTGTACGCGTCTAATCTTATCTCAGCGATATTATTCAGTAAAGCGAATAGAGGCGCTAATGGGAACGCTGCTACGAATAATGTTACAAATCCATACTGCAGAACTATAAATATCATAAAAAGGCAAAAATATATCTGTAAAAGATATCTGTAAAAAGGTATCTCTCTGTAAAACGCATAATATGTGACTCACTCATCTCTAAATATTCATCGAATAAAGCTAATCTTCCTGGGTCTTGAAGCTGATAATCTTTCTCCCAACAGGTGTATCTTCTATCATGGTTCTTTGTCGCCGCGACTTGCGTTCTCTTGCGCCACCAATTCCACAATTTCGGCGATAAGATTTCGACAAAATTATTGAAGCATTGCTTACCGACCATTATAATCGCAAGTTGAATACAGACTTCCGAAAGGCAACCAGCGGGATCGCATACGTCCGTTTTAATACGGTAAAATTCCGAGGCTCTCGCATCTGCATCGCCAGGATGGACGAAAAATCTCCCCTAAAATAAATTAACGATGATGCTCGAACTGAAGCTCAAACAGCAGTGTTCGTGTCGCAATGTCATATGTTAATAATATACCTTATACCTTAAAAAAGGCGATGTAAATCAAAGAAGAGTAAAAGTTGACGAACTCGAATAAAAAGATTTTAAATGTATAACTGGCCTCGTATTCCGTCTGCGTTCTCGGATTTTCCATATTGACCATCCAACGAGCCAGCCGATGATATATTCGCGTGAGTATCATTATTATTACCAAGTTAATGAGGGCGGCGGTTATGGAAGTGAATATTTTCGCGTGTCTTTTTAAAAAACTACCGCTTGCACCGTAAAAGACGGCAACCAACGAAATGCGATACACTATCGTCCCTAAAACCGCTCCGAGGACTACGCATATCTGCGCAAAAAAGTATCAACGATAATATAATCTATGACGAAATATTGCATGTCGAAGAAAATGGAAATGCGTGATATAATTACCATAAAAAATACTATTGAGCCAGTAGCCAAATATCGAACGGCTTTAGACCACGCGGGTAAATACGGTTCTTTTTCCTTCGTTACGGGATTTATCCGGAACGTTTTAACAGACGTCTCGAATTCAGGTCTGGGCTCTTCGTCGTATTCGGCGTTTTGAAGATCCCATTCCCAAACGAGCACGGCTTGTCGCCGTTTCCATAGCTCGAGAAACGTGGTAGCTATTACAGCAATGTCGGACAAATTAAAGCGAACACGTTAAAACGTGCGTAGATACGCACGATTGTGTGGAAGCAGGTATTTAACTCTATTTCAAATCTTACCCCAGAAAGACATAAAAATAGCGAAGAAGACAGTCGCGGGATTGTCAAATAAGTAAGTCAACTTCGAGAATATACAGGAATCGCCGAGTTTTTGATAGTTACATGCTCTATCACAAAGAGGACACAAAGTAATATTTCCTGAAATGTTGCGTTACATAAAATTAAAAATATTACAGACATTGCAGAATAATTTTTTGAGAGAGTTTGCGAGACTTTTATTGTACAAAAATATTGCAATGACGAATATTTACCAGCTATATTAGAATTGCATATTTCTTTGCTGGGAATATTGTCTTCACCCTCCATGCTTCCAAGACCGTAAACGAAGCATAAAAGTCCTACCACTGCTGGTGGATATAAGCATTTCGTGTAAAATCCTAGCCACGCGAAGTAAAGAGCGATTTTCTCGCCAAAATATCGTCTTATTAACCATAACGGCTGTTTCTTATACCTATAAAGATGTATGAAAAAAATCTCAAATATTTTATTATGCAACATTGAACACTCAAAGTAATATTTTTTACTACCATTGCGCGGGTCTTGCCCATATTAAGTACAACAGGTATCTATCAAGAATCTCTCCGTTGCGCATAGGTTTATTATAAGGACCCTCGTGCAAAGGAAAACAATCGACATACGTTCCGTCCGCTAAAAGCCTACGAATACCAGATTTTTCATGGTTCTCGTCGTATCTCGCTCGCAATAATATCTGCATCACTATTAACGATCTCTGAGCGGGCGTATAAGCATTATCCCTTTCCTTTACGATAAACCTGCCAAACATCAAGGTTAATCAAGGATAATCAAGTTCGACGATAGCATATATAGCTCTCTCTCTCTCTCTCTCTCTCTCTCTCTCTCTCTCTC